CAATGCTGGGTTCGAACCAGGGGGCGGGCCTAAATTTAAGTCGGGCGTGTCCCCCTGCAGAACGAATATTCCAAAATAGTTAAAAAATAGTCTGGGGACGATGTGTGGACTAGTTTTGAGCATTTGGGGGGTATGTTTTGACTATTTTTGATTTTTTGCCCCAAATCCCCCTGTAGGGGGAAACGCCCGACTTAAGCCTAAATTGCAAGGGGGGGAGGTTTCGAACCAGTCCCCCACACTCCCTCCTCCCTCCCCGGTGGCAACCGACGACTGCGAGCGCCAGCGCCGACGCCGAGCCCTAGGAAGATTCTATGAGAGCTGGGTCGAACCCTAGCAGGATTCAAGTAGAGCTTGATCTAGCTGTAGTAGCATCCCACTAGACTTGGATCGAGCCTTAGTAGGATTCAGTTGGAGCTGGATTCAGCTATAGTAAGATCATTTTAGAGCTGGATCGAGCCCGACTAGGATGCTATAAAAGGTGGATTCAACTATCGTCGGATGCTACAGGAGCTGGATCGAGCCTGAGCAGGATTTAGGCAAAGCTGGATCCAGCTAGAAAAGGTCTCCATCAGAGTTGTATCGATCCCGACTCGGATGCGCTGAAAGTTGGATCTAGCTTCGGTGGGATTCTACTAGAGCCTGATCGAGCTGCGGAGGTGGAGGAGGAGGAGGAGGAGGAGGAGGTACGAGGAGGAGGAGGAGGAGGAGGAAGAGGAGGAGGAGGAAAAGGAGGAGGTACGAGGAGGAGGAGGGGAGGAGGAGGAGGAGGAGGAGGGAGGAGGTGCGGAGGTGGAGGGGGAGCGGTTCGAATCCCCCCCCCCCCCCTTGGACACGGCCTGCCCGGTTCGACCCCCCCCCCTGGAGCCCCCCGTCCCCCCCCTGGTCAGATAGGCCGGTGCCTGGGGGGGGGGGGGGGGAGGGGGGCGTTTGTCCAGGCGCTGTAGATTCTCAGTGGGCGTGGGGGGGGGGGCGCGGATCTCTGGGCGCGTCAAATGTTTATGGGGTGGGGTGGGGGGTGGTTTTCCTTAGGTTTTCGATGGGAAATCGAACTTTCACTGATGGGAAAAAGGGGCCTCGTTCCTTATTTAGGGTTCCTTAGGTCAACGCCCCGACTGTGCTGTCGAGATCGCCCAAAGTGGGGCGGATCTGGGTTCAGGGCAGGGGGTCGCAGTCTCGCTCGGGTCAGAAGAAGGTGGCGCTGTTCCTTGCCCAGGCTCCTGATAACAACGCTCCGTACAGGCCTCGGAAAAAAATAGCGAACACTCCTGCCACATTCATCTGTGAACGCCTCCCCCTCCCCGCAATGCTCAAAGTTGGCGGTGGGTCTGATGAGTTGCACCTCGACCGCAGTCTCCCCCGCGCGTGCCAGCCTTGAGTTTGGGGGGCAGGGGGGGGTGTTCACTAATTGCTTCCCTCTGCCGTATCCTGGGATTTTTCCCCAGCAAACGCCCACGAGCTGCGTTCTCTCTGGTTTTACCAATTTGGGCCGGGCCCTCGATCCCCTGGAGGACGAAGATTTGAAGATCGTCGTCGTCATGACAATTTGGGGATCGACGACGACGACGACGACGACGACGACGACGACGACGAGGACGACGACCAATTTGGGGAGGAAGGATGGAGGACGAAGACTTGAAGATGGTCGGGGACGGAGGGCGGAGGGTCGATGATGGAGGCACCGTCGATCGAGGGCGCCGTCCCCAACCGTCGATCGATGGAGGCACCGTCGATGATGGAGGCATCGTCGATCGAGGCACCGTCGATGATGGAGGCACCGTCGATCGAGGCATCGTCGATCGTGTTCAACCGTCGCCGCACAGTAGTTCAGCCGATGCGAAGGCTTGTGCTCCGACGTTACGGCAAATCCCCAACGTTACAACATCGCGAGCAAAAAAATCACAGTCAGAGCCCCGGACCCCATCTTTCTGCGGCATTTTTTCGAGCCGGATCGATCTGTGTTGGTCCAGGGTCCCGAGACCAGGCGAAAATCCTTGGAATTAGAGAAAAGCAACGCGCAGATCTCAAGGACTCAAGGAGCTGTGGGTCGAGGATGCCGGGACCTGGGGGGGAACTCAAGCCCCCATGGCTTAAACCGGTTTTACCTTGAACGACTGTGTTGAGGTAGCTTTTGGTTTCTGCCGCGGTGGCGTGGTTACAGCAGCGGGCACTAAAACGGAATCAAGCTCCGGCGGAGAGTGGGACGGTCACCGCTCCGGCACTCAGGCGGACTGGCAGCACCCAGCCTGGGAAATGACTCGATCACATCGTCGCGTCGTTGCTGATTTGGGCGGAGGGCGTGCGGGGAGCCCTGGCCGGGGCCCCCAGGCAGCGCGGCAGCGCCCGCAGCAGCTTCGGGCGGCGGCGCGGCGCCCACCGAGGAGCTCGCGGTCGTCGCCGCCAGCCGCTCGAGCGATCGGTCCAGGCTCGGGGGTCGACCGACCGATCCGTCGGAGCTTCCCAGACATGCTCGCGTCGTGACAGAATCGCGGCGGGAGGGCTCGGATTGGTTTCAGCATCCCGAGGCCCTCGCCAGGCCCCCGGAGCGTCAAAAAAGGCTCGGGATGGAACACCGGCCCATGGAAAAGGGTCGGCGCTTCTAGGGACTGCGCATTGAAAAAGTCAAGACATCGCATGTCTGCGCTCGGGGATCGATCGTCGCCGTCGTCGACCGATCGATCGATCGGTCGAGGTTCGGGGATCGATCGTCGTCGTCGTCGGACCGATAGATCGATCAATCCACGGTTTCCTGCTCCGTCTCGGGCCCCCGGAGTCCCTGCGTCGGACCCTGGAGCCGTCGAGGAGTGGGGCAGTGTGCAAGATCAGACGAAGTGTGGGAGCTGTCCGAAATCTGCGCTGATTCCATTCAGATTGGAATGCTGCGGTTGGCGCTTCGCGGGAACAGCCGATTGCGGCCGGGTTTGGAGATGTTCGGAGGCCCACGTGCCCAGCCCGACCAGGTTGCCCTTGCCCGTTTGGATTGCCCCCCCGACCAGGGGCGACCGCCTGAGCTCCCATAACGCCATCGACGCGACAGAGGGCCTGTGCACCCAGGACCCAAGTTGAAGACTCGGGTGTTGCTAGAAATGCCCCTGGACCAGGGTGCCCCCAGGATTTTCAAGGAGGCCCCCACGGCCTCCAGAGCACTCTTCACGAGGCCCAGAGGGCCCCAGGGGCTCCAAACTTAAGAAGCGAAAAGCTAGGGGTACCTTGGGCCAGGGGTACCTTTAGCAACCACTGAAAGATCGTTCAGGTGAAGTTGATGATCCAGTCCTTGGGACTGTAGATCTTGCCGCTCAAGCTAAAGATCGCGCCCTTGAAGTCCAATGCAGTACATCTTGATACCGGAGACCGTCGGGTGGAATGGATTGCCTCTGGAGTTGAAGTCGACGATTGCACGTGTTCCGGCAGAGCGTCCCCAGAGCACGAGGACCGTGTGGTGTTTGGAAGGGTTGGGGATGTGCACCGTGAGGTTGACGCAGACTCGTTGGTGTTGTCTTCTTCTCCCGATGTGGAAATAGGTGATGTTGCAGAGCTGCGCATGTTCGGCCTTCGTGCTGAACTCAATGACAAGCCAGGGATTCCCCATCCTGCACCTGGTAAAATCAATGATTTGGGCTTCCTCGCCGAGGCGATTTTGGACGCTCTAACTACCCGCGCCCCCGCTCCGTCCAGGTCCAGGTCCACGGGTAGGGGGTAGGGGGAGGGGAAAACCCCTCCCCGAAGGGGAAGAGGGAGGGGTGGAAGAGGAAGCGCCCTAAACCACCGACGCCCAGAGGGCTGGTGGGATTCCCCATCCTGCACCACGTTCGAGGGCAGACTGCGCGCACCCGAAGCCAGCGCGGCGTGAGACGGGCCCTGGACTGCGTCAAGGCCCCGAGGTCCCCGCGCCGCTGCCTCTCTCCTGGGTCGATCTGGCGGGAGGAGCTCGCGCCCCCCTAAACGCTCGATCTCTCCTCCTCCTCCTCCTCCTCCTCCTCCTCCTCCTCCTCCTCCTCTTCCTCCTCCTCCTCCTCCTCCTCCTCCTCCTCCCCCTCCTCCTCCGTCACTCGTTCCCGAAACAATGGTTGCACTTCGGTGTTCTTCCTGGTGTGCTGGTGAACTGGGCTTGTTGGTCGGGGCCGCCGCCTCGTTTCGGCCGTTGCTGTGCCGTCGCCGCCTCGTCGCCGCCCGTGGCCGCCGCCCCGTTGCATTCCCCCCCCTTCCCCGCGTTGCAACCCAATCGAGTGCAATCCAATCGATCGATCGCAATCTGATCGAGTGCAATGCAATCGATCGGTGGCACCATATAGATCGTATTATATACGTATAGTTTCGACCACATAGCCATAGCTTGCGTCAAATACCTTGCACCTCATAGCTGATACCACATATTGTGCACCACCCAGGGCGCACCACATACACTGCACCACATATATTGCACGACATGGATCGCATCACATTGCGTATACCACGTAGAGTACACCGCATATATGATATAGTTTCATATATATATCTGCATACATATATAGATAGATAGATAGATAGATAGATAGATAGATAGATAGATAGATAGATAGATAGATAGATAGATAGATAGATAGATATATATATATATAGATATATAGATATATAGATATATAGATATATAGACAGATATATAGATATATATGTATATATAGAGATATAGATAGCTACATACATACATGCATACATACATAAATACATACATACATACATACATACATACATACATACATACATACATACATACATACATACATACATACATGCATGCATACATACATACATACATACGTACACACATATATACACATATATATATACACCTATACATAATCCGTTTTCCTGTCGGATGAGAAGGACCCCCAGCCAGCCCCCCCCCGGGATGGGCATCACCTAATGCGGCACTCCCCAATGAGCTCCGGACGACCTCGTGACAGCTCCGAGAACAGCCAGGACGGGTCATGGCTGGCCCCAGGAGGCCTCCGAGGGGTGCGAGAGGGCTCCAAGACCGCCCAAAAGCGTTCCAAAACGATGCATGATGGCATCGAAACGGCCCAAGAGAGCCCCAAGGCAGCCCTGGAGGCCCTCCATATGAGTTTCAAGAAGGCTTCACGAGGCCACAAACATGTGCTTCCATTATTGGCTGGCAGTTCTCACTGTCCTCACCTCTTTAAATTTCCCGCGGCCCAAGACGATCTCAGAGGCCCCCCAAACCCCCCCTAAGACAGTTGGCACGGCCGCCACGAGGGCCCCAAGACGGCTCAAGAGGGCCCCAAGACAGACCGCCCAAGAGGGCCCAAAGATGGGCCGACAGGGCCCCACGTGGCTCCCAACAAGTGCCAAGAGGGCCCGAAGAACCCCCCACGAGTGCCCAAGGTGGCCCCGAGACGGGCCCAAGAAGGCGTCAACACGGCCGAAGCCGCCCAAGACGAGGACAAAAAGGCCCCAGAACAGCCCAGGTGGGCCCCAAAACAGTTCAAGAGGGCGCCAAGTGGACCCTCAAGACGGCCTGGAGAGGCCAGACACGTTCATTCTGCACGGTGCTTGCGCGATGCTTTCCTTACGGCGTGACAAGCAGTTACCACAGAGCACCTCAGCACGGACGGTTTTATGATCCCTCGGGCCCCGTGACGGCGAGCTCTGCGGCTCCAAGCTTCTCTTGATGTTCCACAGGCCTGGGATAGCGCGTTTTCTTGCCCTGCGCCCTTGGACATGCTCCTTCTGAACGAGATTTCACACCCACGACGGCCCAGCGGCGCCGGCTTCCCCAGAGGGCGCCCGACGTCCCCCATCCGGGACCCCGGAGCAAAGACAACAGCCGTCGAAGTTGGTTCGGCCCTCTGGGCGGCGCTTCGCCTCCGAAAAAACGCCTACTGCTCACGAAGACTCGCGACGATGTGGGCAAGCAGCCTGAGGCGCCTACCGTCCCCTATCCCGGCCCCCGGGTCAAAGAAACAGCCGTCGACGCGAATCAAAAATTGGCGCGGCCTTTTGTCGGGGGCGGAAAAGAGGGGGGTGATGACTAGGGGGGGGGTGGATATCATGGCGCGGGCCATGATATCTCCCCAGATTTCATGGCGCCTCTTCCCATTTCATTGCGTCCCTGGCCCCCCCGCTGGGCCGCGCACATGCCGCCGGTCATGATTTGCACCCCCCCCGCTTCGACGCCCCCCTCTTTGCCGCTCCCGAATTTGGTAGCCCCGCGCTGAAGGCGGACTCCAAGGTGAAGTGTTCGCCGTGCTCTCGGTGGGCCTGCCAAGCTGCAGGCGTTACCAGAACACGTGTCTGTGCGGGGTTGCGTTTGGCAACGTCCCTCCTCCTGCAGAGGGAGGGAGGGAGGGAGGGAGGGAGGGAGGGAGGGAGGGAGGGAGGGAGGGAGGAGGAGGAGGAGGAGGAGGAGGAGGAGGAGGAGGAGGAGGAGGAGGAGGAGGAGGAGGGGAGGAGGAGGAGGGAGGAGGAGGAGGAGAGGAGGAGGAGGAGGAGGAGGAGGAGGAGGAGGAGGAGGAGGAGGAGGAGGAGGAGGAGGAGGAGGAGGGAGGAGGAGGAGGAGGAGGAAGAGGAGGAGGAGGAGGAGGAGGAGGAGGAGGCGGCAGCATCAGGAACAATAGGGCAAGGGTGGCCAATCCACGGCGGCGCCGGAGGCGCAGCTGGAGGTAGTTATGAAGGAACGCTCGGGCACGGACCCCAGCACGACCACCAGCACGACCACCGCGGTGCTCTGGCACGATCTCGGATGGCCTGAACGCAAGAGTCGTGCTGATCCGCGGCGTCGAAGTCCCAGGGACGACGTGCGGGTACGATTGAGGGTTCTCAGGCGGTTTATCTTCGAATGGGTCTCTTCCGCAATGACCACGTACTCCAGATTTCGTAGTAAAGGGAGGGGGGTCTCATTTCGGGGGGGGTCTCTCCAGGCTATCCTGGAGGGCCTGGGGGGGGTCTGGGGACGGTGTTTTGGAGGGTTCTCCCACGGGGGAGGTCTGAAATGGCTTGTCTTGGAGGGTCCAGACCCCCTCCCTTTTACTACGAAATCTGGAGTACTCGTTGAGGGACCTATGAGGAGGGAGTTTGGATTGTAGGCTCCTTGCAACATCGTTGCTGCGTCTTCGGTTTGCACCGACCCTCTTCCTCATTCTCGTCCTCCTCAACATCGTTGCTGCGTCTTCTCATCCTAATCCTCGTTCTCATCCTCGTCCTCCTCCTCGTCCTCGTCCTCGTTCTCATCCTAATCCTCGTTCTCATCCTCGTCCTCCTCCTCGTCCTCGTCCTCGTTCTCATCCTCCTTCTCGTCCTCCTCGTCCTCCTTCTCGTCCTAATCCACCGACCCTCTTCCTCCTTCTCGTCCTCCTCCTCGTCCTCGTTCTCATCCTCGTCCTCGTTCTCATCCTCGTCGTCCTCACACAGCGACGACGACGGCGGCGTCGGCGCCCGAGCGCGTCCGCATCGCAGGCGGCCGCAGCTCCTGCGCCGCCGCCCACCGCCGCCGCCCCTGCGGCGGGGGTCCCCCGGGGGGGGGGGGGAGGGGGCCCGGGCTCGGAGTCTCCGCCGTACCCACCGGGCCTGGACTCGGAGTCTCCGCCGGGTCCTGGATTGACCCGGGTCAGAGGATCCCCGATCTGTACGCCTTGTTCCGTTCTAAGTATTCGGAAGCTCTTTGGTTTTCGGGGGGGCAAGATCCTCTCATGTCTACTCGTTCTGTGTTGGGCCTCTTCCTGGCCGCCAGGGGGCCAGGAGCAGTTCGAAACGAGCACACTTGGGAACGAGCACGATTACCCCTCGGTCGTTGAAAGTAGGTATTTTTGGATTCCCAGATTCCGATCTACTTTCAGCGCCTCCTTACTTCAAGAGTCGAGTGGTTTTCCCTCTTCCTTCCTCTTCAGGAGGCGGGCGGAAACCCAATATATTTCCAACGCCTTCCTTCTTTATGTTTCTATCTACTTCTTCCGACCGATGGGTACTTGTTGTTTTTTTCCAGATTGAGAAGTGTGTCAGGAGTGCACCCCAAACACTGCGCAAAAGTAGCGCGGATTGCCCCGACTCGCGTAAGAGGGCTGGCTGGTTCCGCAGGAGTGCCTGGCAAAAACGGCCACGGTGGAGCAGGGCGGAAAGTGGCACCACAAGAGTGCGAGGAGCAAGGCGAGAAGGTCCCCCCTGAGGAGGAGGAGGAGGAGGAGGAGGAGGAGGAGGAGGAGGAGGAGGAGCAGGAGGGAGGAGGGAGGGAGGAGGAGGAGGAGGAGGGCAGGAGGAGGAGCAGGAGGAGGCGAGGGAGGAGGAGGAGGAGAGGAGGAGGAGGAGGAGGAGGAGGAGGAGGGAGGAGGAGGAGGAGGAGGAGGAGGAGGAGGAGGAGGAGGGAGGAGGAGGAGGAGGAGGAGGAGGGAGGGAGGAGGAGGAGGAGGAGGAGGAGGGGAGGAGGAGGAGGAGGAGGAGGTGGCAAGAACACTTCGGATCCGGAGCCAGGGGGGGGGGGAGCTCCGGGCGACCCGCGCGCCTGCTCTGGGCGAGCGCGGTGGCTCGCGCCCGCCTCGGCGCGGCGGGGGGTGGGGGTCGGGCTCGAGGCAGCGGCGGCGCTCCCCGGCGACCTTCCCCGGGGATCTGTATACTCCAGATTTCGTAATAAAGGGAGGGCACGGACCCCAGCACGACCACCAGCACGACCACCGCGGTGCTCTGGCACGATCTCGGATGGCCTGAACGCAAGAGTCGTGCTGATCCGTGGCGTCGAAGTCCCAGGGACGACGTCGGGTACGATTGAGGGTTCTCAGGCGGTTTATCTTTGAATGGGCCCCTTCCGCAATGACCACGTACTCCAGATTTCGTAATAAAGGGAGGGGGGTCTCATTCCGGGGGGGGTCTCTTCCAGGCTATCTTGGAGGGCCTGGGGGGTCTGGGGGCGATGTTTTGGAGGGTTCTCCCACGGGGGAGGTCTGAAATGGCTTGTCTTGGAGGGTCCAGACCCCCCGGAAATGGACCTTCCCCGGGGATCTGTTCGGGGCCTAAGAGACGGGGGTCAGTGCAAACGGGGGTCAGCCAGAGCGACAGATCCTGCAGGATCCTGCGAAGGCCCCCTCTGGCTGACCCGGGTTCGCGAGCCGCTCGTGGCCGCGAGGCGGCCGCTCGTATTGGCTGACCCGGGTTTGCGAAGACCTGCGTTGCAGCTTTTTGTTCCTGCATTGCAGTTTTTGTTTTCCTGCTGACCCGGGTCTGGATTGACCCGGGTCAGAACAATGTGTACAGATTGTACACATTGTTCCGTTCTAAGTATTCGAAAGTTCTTTGGTTTTCGGGGGGGCAAGATCCTTTCATGTCTACTCGTTCTATGTTGGGCCTCTTCCTGGCCGCCAGGGGGCCAGGAAGAGTTCGAAACGAGCACACTTAGGAAGGAGGAGGGCGGGGAGGAGGAGGAGGAGGAGGAGGAGGAGGAGGAGGAGGAGGAGGAGGGAGGAGGAGGGAGGAGGAGGAGGAGGAAGGAGGAGGAGGAGGAGGGAGGAGGAGGAGGAGGAGGGAGGAGGAGGAGGGAGGAGGAGAGGACGGGCGGAGGGAGGAGTGGAGGAGGAGGAGGAGGAGGAGAGGAAGGAGGGAGAGGTAGGGAGGAGGAGAGGAGGGGGCGGAGGAGGAGGAGGAGGAGGGGAGGAGGGGAGGAGGAGGAGGAGGAGGAGGTAGGAGGGGAGGAGGGAGGAGGAGGAGGTGGAGGAGAGGAGGAGGAGGAGGAGGAGGAGGGAGGAGAGGAGGAGGAGGAGGAGGAGGAGGGGAGGAGGAGGAGGGGGAGGGCGAGGAGGATGAGGGAGGAGGGAGGGGAGGAGGAGGAGGGGAGGGAGGGAGGGAGGGAGGAGGGAGGGAGCAGGGAGGGAGGGAGGAGAGGGAGGGAGGGGGGAGGGAGGGAGGGAGGGAGGGAAGGGAGGAGGAGGAGGAGGAGGAGGAGGAGGAGGGATGAGGAGGAGGAGGAGGAGGGAACGAGCACGATTAGACAGGAACGACGCGTACGGTGCAGTCTTTCACGCCGGGCGTCTCCGCCCGCTCTCGGGACCGGGGGCCGTCGTCCATCGCCCTGGCCCGAAGAATGCCGCTAGAGGATGCCTGAAAGATGGAGTCATGTCCTCCTTCCTCCTTCCTCCTCTTCTCCTCCTCCTCCTACCCCCTCCTCCTCCTCCTCCTCCTCCTCATTCTCCTCATCCTTTCCTCACCTCTCATCCCCCTCCTCCTCCTCCTCCTCTCCTCCTCCTCTCTTACTCTCCTCCTCCTCTCCTCCTCCTCCTCCTCCTTTCCTCCTCCTCCTCCTATCCCTCCTCCGCTCCTCCTCCTCCTCCCCCCTCCTCCCTACTCCTACTCCTCCTCCTCCTCCCCTCCTCCCCCTCCTCCTTCCTCCCTCCTCACAATTACTCAATATGAATACTACTCTCCCTCTTCCCCTGATGACGGCTTGAAAGTGTTAGCCCCCCCCCGCGTATTGTTTTTTACACAGGATTCCCCGGAGTTGGGCTTTCGCCTGCATTTTTTTCCAAAATTCTGCTCTCGCTGAGGAGCCGGCCTTATTTTCGGGCCCCGCTCGTTCCGAATCGTGCTCCCGCTGCAGCGCTGGCCTCATTTCCGTGCTTCCGCTCGTTCCGACTCGTGCTCCCGCTGCAGCGCTGGCCTCATTTCCCGTGCCATGCCACGGCATGCAATGCAATGCTAGGTTGATACTACGCTTTGCGGTGCTCTTCTACGCCATGCCATGCCGTGCTCTACAATGCATCGCGTACCCTTTCGGGATCATTGCCCTGCTCGACATCCGACTGTGCGAGTAGAGAGGGGATCTACGCCATGGTAAGGGATGGGAGGGAGGGGTAGGATGTCAGATATGACGCGAGCGCACCTAGCTTGTCCTCCCCCCCCTCCTCCTCCTCCTCCTCCTCCTCCTCCTCCTCCTCCTCCTCCTCCTCCTCCTCCTCCTCCTCCTCCTCCTCCTGGGGTGCAGGCCGTGGGACGGGGGCGGGGACGCCCGGGGAGGCCCCCGCAGGGAAGGAGTCCAGGTCACCGAAAGATACCGCTTCAGGAAGAACATTCCGGGGAGGCTCGTCCAAGGGTGATTGCCTGGTGGGGTTGTCCGGATCCCCGCTGGGTTGTCCAAGCGATTCTCCGGAGCAGGTCGTCTCGTCGTCATTCATCAGCTAGGGGTCGTCCGGCTTGCCCAGGGGGGGGGGGGCCTGGGGAGTTTTTTCGATGGGACGATTTTTCCATTGGACATAGCAAAGCTCTCGTCGGGATTGCGCTCGATGTTGCAATTTGTTCGGAACGTCGGATCTCAGGGCCTGGCGCTTCTCACTCTCTTTGGGGCCTCCCTGGGGGCTTCTGGTCGCCACGGTCGGATCCGCCTCTCAGGTCAGGACGAGCCCGAGGAGGGGCCCGGGAGGGCGATTTCGACCAGAGCTGGGTAGGCGGGAAGGCCGTCGCTGTCTCAGTTGTCCTTTTTCCCGCGTGGTTGTTTTTGTTCGATGGGTCATCAGTGCGTGTGTAGAAAGATGTCGTGTCGACACGAGAGTGGCCCAGGCGCAGGCGTACAACGGTAGAGGGAAACAATTAGTGAACACCCCCCCAGCCCCCCAAACTCAAGGTTGGCACGCGCGGGGGAGACTGCGGTCGAGGTGCAACTCATCAGACCCACCGCCAACTTTGAATATTGGGGGGAGGGGGAGGCGTTCACAGATGAATGTGGCATGAGTGTTCGCTATTTCCCCACATTCTAAGTGGGGTTCTGATTTTCTGTACACCCGCGTCGCACCCGCGTTCACTCACCTCCCCTTCTCTACACCCGCGTCACACCTGCGTTCCCACCTCACCTCCTCCTTCTCGCTCGTACACACACCACACCACACCACGCCACATCGCACCACACCACACCACGCCACACCACACACCACCACACCACAGAGAGTGCGCAGAGGGTGGTCCCTCAGCGGGGCCTCTATCCGTGACACGCTCGCAGGGCGTGGCAGGCGCGGCACTTCCTCGACACCAGAGGGGGTGCGCAGAGGGTGGTCCCTCAGCGGGGCCTCTATCCGTGACACGCTCGCAGGGCGTGGCAGGCGCGGCACATTCTCGACATCACATGGGGGTGCGCAGAGGGTGGTCCCTCAGTGTGGCCTCTATCCGTGACACGCTCGCAGAGCGTGGCAGGCGCGGCACTTTCTCGACGCCGCTGGGGGGGCGCAGAGGGTGGTCCCTCAGCGGGGCCTCTATCCGTGACACGCTCGCAGGGCGTGGCAGGCGCGGCACTTTCTCGACACCACTGGGGGGGCGCAGAGGGTGGTCCCTCAGCGGGGCCTCTATCCGTGACACGCTCGCAGGGCGTGGCAGGCGCGGCACTTTCTCGACACCACTGGGGGGGCGCAGAGGGTGGTCCCTCAGCGGGGCCTCTATCCGTGACACGCTCGCAGGGCGTGGCAGGCGCGGCACATTCTCGACATCACATGGGGGTGCGCAGAGGGTGGTCCCTCAGTGCGGCCTCTATCCGTGACACGCTC